ATACCCAGCTGTCATTTTTTTAGCCCCTTGCTGTTACTCAGAACCCTGTTACGAATTGTGTCATGTGACAAGGGTGTGCTAGAATAAAAATTCGGCAGAACGCACTTACCGTGAAAATTGATGTTATGCGAAGCATGCGCACGTAAAATGACTGTGTTGTAATTTTTTTTAGTGAGTGAGATGTCACAAAGTAGCATTTAAAAGAGCTAAACGTGCATGCACAGACGTACGTGAACCACGTCTTTACAGTTGTGTTATGATGCCAACAACAAGGTTGACATTAGCAAAACTAGAAGTGGTAAGCTGATATGAAGTGCTGATGCTCGCGAGGATAGTAGTATCCTTGGACGCTGCTACATAAATCAACTTCAGCGGATGACACCTAACTACAATTGACGTTAAGCTGACGGGACGGCTGTGTCATAGAAGTACAGTGAACTGCTGTTGAGACGAACTTGTTTAAGACGAATTCTCGCTTATGCCCAACAACGGGAGATTGTTTGTTTGGTTTTCTATAGACCCAATGCAAAAAAAATCCGCTTAAGATGAACAGCCTTGCACCTGCTCTTCTGTTAAGACGAACACTTTCGCGGAGACCGGGAGACTGAGGCGATTCTACAGAGGAATTGTGGCAATTTTGCGGGGGCATTCCCGTGGCCGGGGAATGCCCCCCCCCCCCCCCCCCCAAGTAGAAACAGAGCTGTGTAGTCACCACAAATGAAGAACAAGTGCTCTCCCGTGTAGTAAATGCCATTAGAACAATCAGTAAAGGGATCAGAGAAGTTGTCCTGGCATGTAAATCTTCACAACTGATTTTTTTCCAGGCCACCTTTTGCTCGCAAATTGCACATTTACAAGCGTTTAGTGGCGCTGGAGTGCAAATTTCTCGCTGTTCATGGAGTACCTAATGAGCTGTGAAGCCGACTTCATGAAGTCTAAACTGCAACCATAAGTGTAAATTAATTGTAGATGCATTAGTCTTCAGTGATTGCACAACTCTAGAAGGTCCTTCCTCGGCACAATCTTAAGACCCCCATTACATCAGATCCAAGGAATGGTGACTATGGGGGAGGAGGGGTTTCGGCTATTCACACCGTGCCCTCTTCCTTCCCCCAGGAAATTTGTGGCACTGTTTTTACCTAACCGGTTGTCTGTCATCTGTTCGAGGGAATTCTGAGTTATTGCCCAGCTGTGTGAGTTGCGTGGGGACACGCACCGAGGAGCGATTCCTCGGTAGAATATTGGGGCAAAATTAGCGAACACGAGGGGTCGCTAAACCAATGTTTCAACAAGTGGACTTGTTTTAAATGCATATTCCTCCCCTTTCAACTTGTATTGAGCTCTTACTCATGTCCTTTGGTACCAGTTCGATATGTACCAGTTTTATTTTTACCAGATTTCTTCTGAATATTTGAAAAATCGGAAGTACTCAACCCAAAGTCCTTGACAGGGAAAAGAGAATGCCATTCGGTGCTCACCCTTCTAACAATTATTGAATATGATGAAACTCATCACTATAGAAGCAGGCAATTTCATACAGTATGTTCTCAGTTTGCAACAAACATACTTGCCTTCTTTATTTAGTTGTTAGACTGTTGGTTTTCTTCTTAGGGTTTTTTTTCTTTTTAGGATGACCTTATGATGCCTGTCGTTTTTGGAAACGGTATGTGCATGATTGCCTTGTCCCTAGCGCTTCACTTTAACTCATATCTTGTGCAGCGCAGTGAAACCAGAGTTTTACACTCTTAGAGTCTGATTGATGGCCGCTCTCAAGATGTTGGCCTTGGGCTCCTTCTTTGCATTGCATAACTATGTGGACACACACAAAATTAAGAATAGTATTTGTGGAAAATTTAAAGGTGTTCTGCTCCAAGTGATCCTAAATTCGATTTTGTCTGCTGCTAACCTGCAGCAAAACACAGTTCTTCCTGCTCCGAATCTGCTCCAAAACTGACTTTTTCCTGCTCCAGAAATTGCTCCAAATCGTGAACTAGCTGGATCATCACTGCAATGTTGATTTGATGATAGAAGAGCAAATGAAAGCCAGTTATATTTGAATTTCGCGCCAAAATCTTGACATGTGACATATGTCAGTGGGATTCTCAATTTTCACTTTTTTTGGAATTTTGACAACAGTGGCTCAACCTGAAACATGCTATGCTTCAGGTTGAAACATAACATGGTATGCTATGCTGCGCAAGACCCACTAGACGGCGTCAAAATTTGTGATGCCATTGCACGTTGGTTCAGGAAATTGAAAATGTCAACACCATCTGCGTTTTCTTTCTGTGTACTCTCTCACCAAGCATTTTCTCATGGAAAGAGTTCTTTATTTTTAGGCATGTGCGAATATTTGAACGCTTCAAGTAATCTAACGAATAGTAGAGTATTTGATTTCGCTTCGATTCAAATTTAAATTATAGAAAATTTTGAAGTATTCGTGTAAACGAATAGATGTATATTAGTCTGCATCTAGTCGCCTGTAAAGAGGTTTTCAGTGCAGTGTAGGGGTGCTAAGCTGTGAAAGCATCTATTAAAAAAAATAAGTGTTGCTGCAAAGCTCTTCTTAAAACTTAAAGGGGCTCTGCAACGCTTTTTTGAGCATGGTCGAAAAACGCTGTCGATCGATGGTCAAGGCTACCGAGCACAAGTGAGCTAAATATTATAGCACAACACGCGGCCTGCATTTCACAATAAATTTTCAAAGCAAGTTAATAACTGCCTTGTCCCAGTCACTGTATCAGCCATTGGCTGTTTTGAGCATGGGTTGCTCGGTCGTTACTAGGGCAGCAGCAAAAGGCCGCCACTTGTCTGCGCTTACATGCGCGATCGCACTGAAACACCACGTACAGACGACTCTCGTTAATTAAAACTCGAAGGGACCTCAGAATTTGGTTTAAATTATCAAGAAGTTTGAATTATCTGAAGTTCTCAGATATATGACTCTGGGCAAAGTGACACATTAATTTTGTCACATTTGAATTTTTTTTAAGCAATTTTTAACTCTAACTGCACCCAACAAACAATAGAAGTTTAAGGTATACAAGTTTATTGGCCATTCATTACTGATCAGGCCTTTTAAACAAATTGTAAATTGCCTACTGCTTCTTTGCTCTACGTGCCTTCAGCACAAATCTCTCTATACCACTTGAGAAGCATCACGGTTTACCATGTGTGTGCTTGATTTATAAAATTTGTTTACTAGCAAAGCCTCTTTTCTTGAAGGCCCGAGGTGCTTATTTTTCATTTCTAGACTGTTGGGATTATACGGGCACAAAAATTCAAGTAGTAAAAGAAAAACTGCAGATATTTTCCAGTATAGAACCACAAAAAGTATGAATTAACCGATTGACAGAGATTGAATTAAGAGGCTTTTAAATACATTGAAAAAATAGAGCACCAACCAATTATTGAATTTGATTTGAATTGGCCAAAAGTATGAATTAGAGTGAATTATTGAGAGCCTACTGTATACGAAGAAAAAAGAGAAAAGTTCTCAAGGTCTCAAGGCTCGCATGACGTATTTTCTGTGCCCTTGCCACCCTCTTTGCTTAGTTTCCAGCGCTTTCGTCGGGACGAGAAGAGAATGCAATAGCAGCATGCGATATATCTTTGCAACCCCGCTGGTACTCGACAAATTTTAAAAGTTTTTACGGTGGCGAATTCATAAGGCAATTAGCTTTTTCAATGAATTGATTCTATAGCTACTTTAAAAAGTGTTGCAACGCCTCTTTACATCAACATATTACCCTCAAATTCAATTCATCCCTTTTTAAAGCTTAAAAGGTTGTTATTTTCAAATTGTAACGTATTTTAGACGTCATCAATTGCATCCCACTGATCAAATCCTGCTACTACTCAAAGTTGTTTAGACTTCCTTTGACCGAAAGAAAAAAAAGGCATTTGCATAGAGGCCCTATTTCAATTTTAAAAAATATTGTGCAGGTTAGTTAGGTCATGGTAAATGTGCCCATTTTTTTTATATGTCATATATACTATTGGTATACGACTCAAAATTAAAAGACCAAAATCACTATTCGCTTCGAATTCGCTTCGAACCTAAAATTCGCTATTACCACAAGCCTATTTAATTTATATTGTGAAAGGCTAAATAACTTAACCACTACAAAAAAAAATCATTTTTCTCATTGTCGTCCCTTTAAGACCATGAGAACTAGTGCTTGCCTGAAGTCTATTTTTTCCCTTACAGTTTTTACGATTGCCTCATTATTACTTTGGGATATATTCCATTAGTACAGAATAATGGTGATGCAGTTGTGTTGCTTGGCATGAGCATTTGACAAGGAAGGTGTTGACTCTGACGTGTATAAGATGGCAGTGCCCATGGAAAAATGCTGTTGTGTTTGCTCATCGAGATTAAATGGGCAGAAAACAATGCATTCAAGTGCTTTTTGAGCTCTCATAGCATCACATAGGTAGAAGAGTAGGATTGGGCGTGTTGGTGTGACATGATTATGATTGCTAACCAGCGCAACCTCCTTTCTATTGCACTAATTTGTACTCATAATTACACAGGTAGATAATGTTGGAATAATGGTCTGACATGTTCATCCTGCACTTTAGATACTCTCAAAAATCTAAGATGTATTGACTCCCATGGGTGTTTGCCAGGGATATGAAATGTTTTGTTTTTGTGAGTATTTTGTTGCCCCTGGCTCTCATTATCGTGGGATTTGACAGTAGCAGCCATGATCTGTTGCATTAACCTAAGAAAGATTGTTAATATATCATTCATCGATCTGTCAATACTACTAGATTCATATTTGTGCTCAAAACGAAACTTGAAAGTGAGGGAAAAGTCAAAGCAATAAGAGAAAAAGCATGATTAATGAGCATGATTACTTCTAGCGCATAATTATTGGCTTAGTGCCTTACCCCTCTATTCTATGGCTGTTTTCTTTTCATTTATAATTTTTTGCTAGTTTAAACCCTAGTTCTGTGTGTGTGTAGAGCTGGTGGTGCTTGACCTTTGCGCGCAGACATCTGGGCCATTGGGTGCATCTTCGCTGAGCTGCTGACCTCGGAGCCCATCTTTCACTGCCGGCAGGAGGACATCAAGACCAGCAATCCATATCACCATGACCAGCTAGACCGCATTTTCAACGTTATGGGATTCCCCCATGGTCAGTGTCCTTTTTGAAGGCTGAAATGTGAAACTGTCCAATCTCGTACAGAACTTGCAGTCATAAGGCTCTCAGTTGAGCATCACATACAAGGGGTAGCATGTGTAGTCACTTACAGTGATGTAGGACTAACACGATTGTGCTGTTGTCAGGGCTCACTTGTCAGATGCATGTGTTCGTGGGAACAAAGCAGTGGTGATGTGCTGTAGCAAAAACATGTAATGGCCTGTATTTCACCTCTTGTAGTACATACCATATTTACTCGCATAATAAGCGCACCCCCAGTTTGGTCATAGGAAATCTTATTCCTTTTACTTCCGCATGTAATTGGCTGTCATGAGTATCTCGATGTGTGAGAAGAGAAAGAAGAAATAAAATGAAACAAGGTTATCAGATTAGTAAAGAAAAAAGATGATACATTGAAGATGAGTAGGAAAAAAAAAGAACACAAAAAGAATAAGTTGAAGAACACGAGAGGAGAGAGGGCAGAGTGGATTGGAATGGCAAGAGGCGCGGACAGGCAGTGGTCTGCCAGCAGACCTCCTGGCAAAGTGCGCAAAGTGCCCCAGTCTTCGCAGCAATGTACTGTGCCCTGCGGGGTGCGACCAGAAGGGCGACCAGCTCGGCCCAGCTGAGACCTTGCTTTTGAAGAGGTGCAGATGTTCTGTGGCTATGCTCCATGGGCCACATACCTGAGGATGGGCCACACACCTGACACGACGGTTACTAGCAACTGTGGGGATGGAACGATGCATCAAACGCTCATGCTCAGGTGGTGGATCGTGTCTTGTGACTGGTGCCGCGCGAGCGTGCCGCAGCACGAGCGGCCCGTGCCCGCGGAGAGAGACGATACGAACAACAGCTGCTCAGCTAACGAAAAAAGGCCTCCCCCACTTTATTCAGGGCAAAATATATACAATCTCAGGGGCGCCACATGCTAGTGGCAGCCGAACTAAATGACTGAAGGGTGGCGACCTCTACATCTCCCCCCTTGAAGACCAGACAGAAGACGGAGTACGCCAGACACTGCACATCACAAGTTCAGGCGGTTCGGAGGCACAACACGGCGGCCACTACGTGTTCGTGTCACACCATCACTGCGGTCACTGTCTGCAGGGGGCAGTCCAAGGGAATCGGATGGTTGCACTGTAGTAGTTCGCTGGGGTTCCAGAGGGGGCAGTGTTCGCTGTGGCTCCTGCTCCTCAGACGGCGGTGGTTCCACCCTTGGCGCAGGAGGTGCAAAAGGCACTAGGTGACGCCGGTTGCGTTGTAGGACGCCACCCTGCTCCGTTTCCACGACATAACTTCGTGGTCGGCGTGCTGGGCTAAGCACTGTAGCTTTGACCTGATCAGGTCGTACACAGACACACTGGCCTGTTCGGAGCGATGACAGATCTTGAGCTCTGTGATGCCTGTTAAAGTCAGCGGCCTGTTTCTGCTTGTAGGCTGCATCTTTTCTCCTCACGTCTTTCCTCGACGGCCGGTGAGGACATAACTGGGAGTCCTGTTTCGGCACTTTGGTTCGGAGTTGTCGTCCCATCAAGAGCTGGGCCGGGCTGAAGCCATCGACTCCGGGGGTGTCCCGGTAGCTGAGCAAGGCCAGATGAGCGTCTGTTGCTTTGCGAAACAACTCCTTGATGGTCCTGACCATTCTCTCCGCCTCTCCGTTCGATTGCGCGTAGTGCGGGCTGCTGGTGACGTGGTCAAAGCCGTAAGATGCCGCCAATGCTGCAAACTCGTGTGAAGAGAACGGTGGACTGTTGTCTGATCTGACTTCTCGCAGAATCCCATGCCGGGCAAAGATGCTTTTGAGAACGTCGATGACTGCCTGAGCCGTTGTGCTCCTCAAGGTTACAACTTCAGGGGTACCTGGAGTGGTAGTCCACCACCAAGATGAATGTCTGGCTGCGGAGGTGGAACAGGCTCCATGCCGACAAGTTCCCAGGGACGTCCAGGTAGGACCGTGGAGGCCAGGGGCTCTGCAAGGTTCACCCGAGTGGAAGCACATTGCTCGCAGTTAGTTACCAGAGAGGTAATGTCTGCCGAAATGCCAGGCCACCAAATGGACTCTCGAGCGAGAGCTTTCGTCCTGTTGATGCCTTGGTGTCCTTCGTGCAACAGCGTCAAAACAGCCGGCCGAAGAGAATGCGGGATGACCATCCTGGCGCCTTTTAGTAGAACACCGTCGCAGACAGGGAGCTCATCTGCTGCTGAGGCATACTGGGAGAGGTGCAGTGGCAGTTTGGACTTCTGTGGCCAACCATTCTGACAGAAGGAGGTGAGGGCTCTGCATTCGCCATCGGACTCTTGTGCTTGTCGCACGTCCTCTGGGCTTGGTGGCAAGGCTTCTGACATGCTGCTGACCACTTGAGCTACAAACAATTCCACGGTGTCCAGAGGGAGGGACGCCTTTTGGGTGATGCGTGACAAGGTATCTGCCGTAGCTAACAGCTTTCCTGGCACGTGAAGCATTCGGAACTGGTATCGCATGGTCTTTAACCTGAGCCTCTGTATGCGAGGCGGCAGCATGTCCAGCTCCATCTTGCCGAAGAGAGAAACGAGTGGTAGGTGATCTGTCTCAACATCAAAGGTGATGCCGCGGACGAATTCGTCAAACCGTTGGATAGCCCATGTTGTTGCCAACGCTTCTTTTTCTGTCTGGCTGTAACGCTGCTCTGTCTCGGTCATTGATCTCGAAGCAAACGCAACTGGGCGGCGCTCTCCAGAGGGTTGTGTCTGCAGCAAGACTGCGCCCAGTCCGAATGAGCTTGCGTCAGCCGAAACTGTGGTGGCGTATGATGGATGGTACTTGGCCATGCAACGGTCTGATGTCAGGAGTTCCTTGATTTTCTCGAATGCAGCATTTTGTTCCTGCTGCCACACCCAAGTCGCAGACTTGTTTAGAAGTGCTCTGATGGGAGCTGTGACCTCTGAGATGCAAGGCAAAAACCGGGCAAGATGGTTCACCATTCTGAGCAGTCGCCGGACACCTGCGATGTCGGTTGGAGCCTCCATGGCTTTGATTGCTTCGACCTTGTCTGGACTTGGCCTGATGCCTTGTGCTGAAACGATGACTCCTAGGAAGAGACTTCGGAGACACCAAAACGACACTTGTCTTGGTTCAACGTGACGCCTGCTTTTGCAAGGCGAGACAGCACCTGGTTCAGTCTGGCATCGTGCTCCTCGCGGGTGCGCCCAAAAACCAGAATGTCGTCTATCATATTGGCGACTCCTTCCTGGCCCTCCAGGATCCTGGCCATCTGTTTTTGGAAGTACTCCGGCGCGGAGGTGATGCCAAAGAGGAGCCGGCAGAAGCAGTATCAGCCAAATGGGGTGATGAACGTTGTGAGCTCTTGGGAGTCTGCAGATAGTTTAACCTGATGAAAACTGGCTGTTGCATCCAGCTTGGAGAAAACTGTTGCGTCGCCAAGGAGGCCAAGGACTTGCTCTACCGTTGGTAGGATGTGGCGTTCCCGAAGGACAACCTTGTTCAGCTGAGTCAAGTCAACGCACAGCCGGTAGGAACCATCGGCTTTCCGTACTACAACGAGACCAGAGCACCACGGGGTTGGGTTGTCGACCCTGCGGATCACGCCTCCTTCCTCCAGTTTGTCAAGCTCGTGACGGACGACCCCGAGTAGCGGGATGGGAATCCTGCGAGGCACACTTAGGGAGAAGGAGAAGAGTACAGCGCCAGGTCTCAGAAGGATAGTGTACTCGTCCTTGAGGGTGCCCAATCCCTGGAAGAGCTCAGCACGCAATGTTGCTTTCGGAGTCTGAAGTTCGTCGAGAAACTTTACAATTTCCAGAGCTTTAAGCGCCGGCAGTCCAAGAAGAGGTACGGTGAGAGACTGGATCACGTACAAGCGCTGACAGCTCATTTTCCCGTGCCACCTAAGTCTCGCCATGTACGAACCCAGCACGCGCAGCGGCTGACCGCCAGGTCCGGTGAGCAGGCTGTTGACGGGGTCGAGCTTGGCCGGCAATGCAGGGAAGTCGCTCGGAACGGCGGACACCTCGGCTCCGGAATCGACCTTGAACTGCGCTGTGTAGTTGTCAACGGTGATGTCGACGAACTTTGCCGCGGTGAGTGTCCCGACAGCATGTAGCTGAATGGAGCCGAGCTTCTGTTTTGCCTGCCGCGCGCGGCACACTTCCGCAAAGTGTCCTTTCTTTTTGCAGAAGTTGCAGACGGAGTTTCGAGCAGGGCAGTTAGAACGTGGATGTGGCGCGCGGCCGCAGAATTCACATGTTGACGGCTGGCAGGAGTGCTCTGCTTTCCACGGGTGCGAAGGCCGCTTATCGTAGTTGCGGCGGCGAGAGGCGAACTTCTTATCTCGTACGGCGTCGAGGTGTAGCTCGCGGGAGTGCTCTGCGCAGTTTTGAGGCAACGTTTTTTCTTTGTCGGCGTCTTCTGATTGACGGGCCTGCATCCATGCTTCTTTGAGCGCCAACTTCGCGTTCCGGCAAAGCTGGTCCGAAAGGCGCGAGTCGCGGAGGCCGACGACGAATCTATCGCGTACAAGCCTTTGCTCCACCTCAGCTGACGGATAGTTGCACCGCTTCACCATTTTACACAGTTCGGCGTAGTAGGCGTCGACGCTCTCGTCGGGTAACTGAACACGCTGGTGAAAACGCGACGACTCGTACAGTTCATTCGCCGGATGCACGAAGTGGTCGGTGAAGCTGGCGGCAACCGCTTGAAATGAGGCGAGTGATGCGGTGTCGAGCAAGAACGTCTCAAGAAGTGGGCGGGCCTCCGGCCCCATGCAGTACAACAACGAGCGTACCTGCATGTCGCCGGATGCTTGAGTCAGGCCGGAAACGACAGCGTAGTCCTCGTAGCGGCTGAGCCATGCTGGCCAGGTTCCCGGGTTCACAAAGTCGAACGGTGCGGGCGGCTGGAGGTTGAGGCTGAGCTTTTTCGGCGCCACTCTGTCGAGGGCCATCGTCGTGCGGTACGGGCGAGTTCGGGATGAGGGGGCGTTACGCAGCCACTTCTGACACCATGTCTTGTGACTGGTGCCGTGCGAGGGTGCCGGAGCACGAGCGGCCCGTGCCCGCGGAGAGAGACGATACGAACAACAGCTGCTCAGCTAACGAAAAAAGGCCCCCCCACTTTATTCGGGGCAGAATATATACAATCTCAGGGGCGCCACATGCTAGTGGCAGCTGAACTAAATGACTGAAGGGTGGCGACCTCTACAGATCGTTCTTCACGGACATGACGAGACTTCGACTTGGCACCGGAGCCATCACACCAAGGCCATCAACTACTGATGAAACAGTAAATGTCTTTTTTTTTGTATTGTGTCATAGTGTGTGCTGGGGACCTTGATTTAAATTGTTGGGTTTTTCACCATTTATTGTGTTTATAGTTTATGTTTTGCGGCACGAACAATTTTTTGTTATAACGAGTGTTCCTGTTTTGTTTACCATCTAGAGATCGTGACATAATTGCATCTCGATATGGCCGTGTATTGTGTTTGCATGGCTGCAAATACGCTGCCCTCTTACTTAACTGGAACAGGAAAAATAAAAGAAAGGTTGGCCGCGTATCGGCATGCTTCTCTGCAAAGGACGTCAAAAAACGACAGGGTTCTGTGTGGAGACACTGCATGAGATGTGGTGCCATCTGACAGCAATGTGTAGAAAGAAAGGTTCTTTAGAACACAGAGCCATGGGCAGGTGGCAGCACCGGGTCATTTTAGCTAGAGTTACTGTATACGCTACCCTTAGGTAGCAGAGTTGCGCATAGGTCCGCCATCTTGCCCGCTGAGACGTCCATGTCATGCAGAAAAGCTACCCCTTCCGAAAGAGCTGACACAGCCCAGCGGCTCTGTGTGTTTTCTCGCTCGTTTATAACTCACTGGTGCAATACTCACTTAAAAAAAGACAAAAAGAAACCCTCAAATGATTATTGGCTTAGATATTACTGATGCTTTAGCTTGTACGATGACAGTCACTATAGGAAAACATTTTAGTTTCAAATAGCCTTGATTGACTTAAATGACTTAATTTTTCAAGAATCGTGTACACGATTCGCGACTACTTAAGTTCTGAAAATTGCTCAATTCATGTTTTTTGCCGCTTTAAATGAATAAGCAAGTGGTTCAATAAAACAATTGCTTGAACTATCCATTGTGTTTTACAAATAACGCAAGCAAACGGGAAATTTCATCATATCTATGCATAGCTGTGGCATCCTGTCATCGTGGCAACTATGCAGCGCTGAGTCACGGCACTGCGCTGCATGAACCCTACTAACACTGCTGTTAACTAAAAACCGACAACACAATATGCAATTATAACGCCAACGAAAATGTACTTCAGCATTTATCGGGATCGGTTCACCGGACTGCTTGGGCAACGGTGTTGTGGTGCCAGTAGCGCGGCGGTTGCCAGCACCCACACGGCGGTAAGGTTGGATTTTTTTAAAATGGACAAATGCGCACGTGAGCGCGCTTGGCGAAGGGGGGTATGAGTGGAGAATTCTATAAGTGGCGCAACTCTGTTACTTAATGGTAGCATACACAGTGAATCTTGGTTTAGCCAAAGCCCCTGAATAAAACGCTCCCACTCTTACACCAGCTCTCTGTTCTTTTTACAATGGCTCCACCTACCCGGCACGTAGCTAGCAGACGCTTTCTGCATCAAACCCAGCTGCTGCAAATCACTCGCTCTGGTCAGCTGGTATTTCGATGCGATTTTTTTTCATGTGAAGGTATTGCCGACGGCCGAAGCACTATGGGAAGACATCAAGAGATAAACAGAAAAGTTTTATTGGCAAGTGTGTTTGGACCGCGTCAGGTCACTGGATCACCGCGAGGTCCCACGCCACATCTACAGGACCATGAATGGCTGTCGCCATGTTGACATTGGTAGCCCGAGTCATTTTACTGAAAGTTGTCGAAGGCCTTATTCTCCTATGCACTGTTGCATCACTTTGTCCTGAAGCATTGCTGGGTTTTCGTCCTTGACTGCTGAATAACTTGTACTCGGTGCTGTGAGCACATTGAAGCTCATTGATGGTATAGTGTCAGCAAAATTTTGTGGTCATATCGGACGTAATTTTGTGGCCATTTTGGACACACAAATATGGATCAAACCACACCTAAATAAAAGATATAAGCCGTGACAGAAAGTTGGAAGCTTCGATTACTGCTGTACTGCTGAGAATTTTTATATGAGAGCTAATGATTATAATAACGAATTAATGCTGCCTTTTTTTTTCAATTCAGTGCAGTGTAGTTTATTTGGTGTGGAAAGAAAAAATGCCACACTCAGAGAAGGTCAAGTTAAAGCAGCATAGTACACATGGTGATAATGGCCTTTTCAGAGGTAATTAGGTGCTTTTCTAACAGACATCTTTAGCATTTTTTAGCGGAGCATCTTATGAGCTCACTTGATGTGATCATGTCTGCTATCCACTGTGCCTATGTGTCCCCTCCCCTCTCTCTTCTCTCCTATGCTTCCCTCTCTCTCACTTTGTAATGAAGACACATGCAGCACCTGCTAGCGAGTTTCTTGGTTGAAAAATGTAACTGCTTGCGCTGCCCAACCGTTCACTGGCCACACCGTATATGCAGTGAAACCCCATTAATACGTACCTGCCGTGGCTGCGGCATAATAAGCACTAAACGCACTATACATTAACCACCAGCTACAAGTTTGCATCTCTTTACATGCATCATCGCCGCCGACAAAGGAAGAAACTCAGTGCCATAGGGAGTATTGCCTTAAGTGCCTACCGCAAAGCCATTTCCTTCTTTTTGCCACAGTGCAGAAAAGCTTCTGACTCTCGCACAACCTGACTCTCGCATGAGCATTTTGAAACTACTGCAGGGTCTGGGATACGCAGTGTGGATCAGCGACAGAACGAACACAATGGGTTGTCCGTGATACGGTTGTTCTGTTGTCTGCTTCTAAGGGAAAACTGCCACAGTTTTCTTTTTTTAAACGCATCACGATCACAGAGAGCCGGATCGTTTACTGCATGGCTAGTTGCGCTCAGCGCTTCGCTCACTTGGCGCTCACTGTGATTGTCGATCCACTCGCTGTAGAGTACGCCCTCTCCGGTTCAGGTCATGCATCGATGCGGCGAGTAGCCTTCTGGGTTAATGCGGCGACAAAGAGCTTTCTGCAAGCAATGCGCTTTTTGCGATGCTCTAGCAGCCCTGCCAACGGGTGAAGGTGCGTTTGGGCTGTTGCTGAATAAAAAAACGTGTAGCATCGTTACAACAGCACTACACTTGCTGTACGGTGCCCGAGCGAAGTTTCTCGGTGTCCACTACCCGCAACGCCAAATCCCTGCGTTTCTGTAAAGTAATACGCACTTGAACACGAGCTCGCTTAATGAAGCGGCAGCGAGGGGCGGCCTAGCGCGTTCAGGTAGTCACCTATTAAATGCGTACAGTAGGCCTAAAGTGATGCCACGCCACACGCGTGCCCGAGCAGATAACCGGGGGTGCTTACTGTGATGAGGCTTTATGCTGCGATAAGTCATACCGGCACGTTTGTAGGTGATTGCCACCTCGCCTTCGTTTTATTCCCAATGATTGCAATGTCATCTCGTGAAATAACTTATCAGCTGATCTCCGCACTTATCAGCATGACAGCAATCGTTCGCAGCACATTGTGGCATTGGTAATTTCTGCGGAGCAGTAAAGTTTTGTGGCACAAAATGTCATTGCGGTATGCAGTTAGTACGCAATAACCAGTAGGCATAAGCTGAACACTACGGCTTAAATGGTCTGCGAATCCATTAGTTTTTATGAGACTCTGTTAGGGATTTGTCACAACTACAATTTGATGGTTAGTACGCTTAAAGCAGGTACGCACTAGTGAGGTTTGACTGTATAAGCATTATATCTTGCCCTCATGGTAGTTGGAAGATTACTCCTGTATGTTGTTGAACTGTAAAAACTCGCAGCATACGCGTTGACTAGAAGCAGACTGCAGGTGTCTGTGGGCAGTCGGAAGTCTTCTGTCTCTCATTGCCCACTAGCAGCGATTGTCATGTTCCTGTAGAAACACCTGTCCATTACTGTGTGCTTTGAGCCTCCCCAAGGTTATCTCCAGCGCATCACCGCAATGAGCGCTAGCGTCAACGCTGCTGTCAGTGTAAGCGTTTTCAGTCACCGCTTTGCATATACACATGATTCCCTTTAGTGGGAGACGTAATTTTTTTTTGTCTTGTCCCCAGAAAAAGACTGGGAGGACATCAAGAAAATGCCAGAGCATCATACCCTGATGAAAGATTTCAAACGTTCAAGGTGAGGTTTTGTTTCTTGGTCCTGTTGGAACAGTGCTCAGGTAAAATGCACGGGTGTGGTCTATGCAGAAAAAAAAAATTGTGTGCAGATGAAGTCAGACAGGCAAGCCAAGTGGGGAACATAGCTTCTCTTATTGGACCGTCTCTGTAATATCAACCTCCAGATATACAGAGTCTGTATTGAGCAGTTGTAAGATGTGTGAGAAATCCATTAGCAGCCACGTTCTCTGCATTGAAAGCGGTGTCCTTCAACTCACTGAAGATTTTGTTGGGCTAGGATGTGCATATTTTATGGAAGGAATAAGGCACAAATGAGACGAACATACGAAGAGACATGAACAAATGCCTTCTGTCAACATATTGCTACGGATGTGATGGGTTTATTTACACTGAAAAATAGCAGCGCTCTACCGTCACTGCCGAATCACTATCGCTCGAGAGCGTTCGATCTCTTCTTCTTCCTCGCTCTTTCAGTCGGCGTTACATTTCCCTCTGGGCCAGATGAAGCACACCGAGCGAGTACAGAGCGATCGGTTGTTGTAGGGCTCCAATCTGGCAATGTGCACAATTTGCATTTAGCGCTGAACGCCGGTTATGAGCTGTCACTTTCGCAACAGCGTAAGTGATGTCACTTAAGCACTGAGTAATGACGAATGGTCCAGAGTACTTAGAAAGAAACTTCTAGTAAAGTCCCTTCTTTCGAACAGGCGTCCACAGCCAGACCAAATCACCTGTAGCGAAAGTCACGGGCGGGTGTTTTGCGTCATAACGGTCTTTCGCGCGAGCATAGGGCGGAAAGAGTTCGGAGCCGAACAAGTCGACGAGCTTCTTCGGCGCGACACAAAGTCTGCGCGACACTGGCATTTTCGTTCGTCGAAAATGGAAGTATGGTGTCAAGGAAACTTTGGGGATGACGAGCATAGAGAAGAAAGAAAGGCGTATAACCCGTGACTTCGTGTTTCGCGGTATTAAAGGCGTATGTAACAAAAGGTAATACGGCATCCCAGTTCTTGTGATCCGCTGCTGACGTACATTGAAAGCATGTTGATGATGATACGATTAATGCGCTCAGTGAGGCCCTTGGTCTGAGGGTGGTATGGCGTGTAATGGCGATACTGACACCCACAAAGCCGTAGCAACTCTTCGACAACGTCAGCGGTAAACTGTCGGCCGCCATCACTTATCACCACACGAGGAGCCCTGTGACGAAGTATGATCGAGTGTAGAAGAAACCATGACACATCAGATGATGTGGCTGAAGCAACCGCCATCATTTCAGTATACCGCGTCAGGTAATCTACGCACACAATAATCCAGCGGCGGCCGGTGGTAGACTTGGGGAAAGGGCCCAGTAAATCTATACCGACTTTTTCGAATGGTGATGTCAGTGACTTAACCGGCTGCAGTGGGCCGGCCAATGGTATGGTAGGTTGTTTGTGGCGTTGGCAGACATCACAACTCGCGACGTAGTGCTTGGTGGTCTTCCAAAGTCGAGGCCAGTAAAAACGTTGTCGGATACGGTGAAGCGTTCGGGCAAATCCAAGGTGCCCAGATGTAGATGTCATCGTGCATGGCTTGGAATACCGCAAGACGCAGGCATTCTGGCACGACGAGTAGTAGTGTGGAACCATGGCTGGAGTAATTCTTGCGATATAGTAGGGCGTCTTGAATCACGAATGGCGGGGCGCGTTTAGACCTACGAGCCACATCAATCATTGGTTTCAGCGAAGGGTCACGCTGTTGCTCGTGACGGAAGACGTCCAAATTTGGGAAGTTGGATGAGATTGCGGCCAGGTAGTTGTCGAAATCTTCATCATCAGCATCCACAGTTGGAGATGGAAGATGAGATAAGCAGTCGGCATCTGCGTGACAGTCGACCGCTCTTGTAGGTCACAGAATAATTATATTCTTGAATCGTAAGGCCCAGCGAGCCAATTGACCAGCTGGGTCACGTAGTCCGACAAGCCAACAAAGGGAATGATTATCTGTGACGATCTTGAACTGCCGGCCGTACAAATAAGGTCTGAACTTTTGGACGGCGAAAACAACTGCAACACATTCCAGTTCGGTGATCATATAATTCCTCTCCACCTTAGTCAAAGTCCGACTTGCATACGCCACGGCGTGCTGGCGGCTGTCGTGATATTGAACTAGCACGGCACCAACACCGACACCGCTAGCATCTGTATGCAGTTCCGTGAGTGCCTCCGGGTTGAAATGGCGCAAGAGGGGCCCGGAAGTAAGCAAATACTTCAGGTGCTCGAAAGCAGCCTCACACTCAACAGTCCATCGGAATGGGGCGTTTTTGCGGAGCAACTCTGTCAGGGGATGAGCAAGCTGGGCGAAGTCTTTGATAAACTGAAGAAAATAAGAACACAGGCCCACGAAGCTACGGAGATCCTTCACAGACGTCGGTTGCTTGAAGTCTTGGACAGCACTGATTTTGTGCAGGGTCTGGTCGTATACCGTCCCTGTCGACTAGATATCCAAGCACAAAGGCTTGACGCTCACCAAAATGACACTTCTTTGCGTTTAAAACGAGACCAGCTTGTTTGACGCAATCTAGAACAACGCTAAGCCGATGGTTGTGCTCGTGGAATGTCTTGCCGAAAATAGTTACATCATCGAGATAACACATACATATCTCCCATTTGAGACCGCGAAGGATGGAGTCCATGAATCGCTCGAAGGTAGCTGGGGCATTGCATAAGCCAAACGGCATAACGTTGCATTCAAATAACCCATCCGGCGTGACAAAAGCAGTCTTCTCTCTTGTCAGACGGAATGCATTGGTATTTGCCAGTATCCAGACCTTAGGTCGACGGATGAAAAGTATGCGGCCGAGTGCAGACAATCAACAGCATCGTCGATGCATGGTAGCGGATAGACGTCTTTCTTTGTGACGGCGTTGAGACGACGGTAGTCTACACAAAATCGTCAAGAATTCTCTTTCTTTTTTACCAATATAACAGGAGCTCTCCACTGACTGCTTGACTCTTGAATAACGCCTTTCTGCAGCATGTCGTTGACCTGATTAGCGATCAGCTTGCCTCTCTGACTGGGATACGCGATAGGGTTTCTGGCGTATCGGTGTAGCATCTCCCGTGTTGATGCGGTGGTGCATACGGAATTCGGGCAACGCGGAACAACGCTTGTTTTGAGCGAAATGAAAGACTCCCGCGTAGCGTGTAAGTACCTCCTCAAGGACATTCTGCTCGGAGGAAGGCAACGACTTATTGATCATACGTTTAATCTCAGCTGAGTAGTTGGGCGCAGTCTGACTGATGGCTGGAGACTCCGAGACCATTCTGACGTCAATTGTGGCCTGCTCCTCGAACGTTCCCAGTTTGAATCCGGCTGGTAGAACAACAAGCTCTGAGGCTGCGTTGAGCGCCCACAAGCAAGCATGTCCGTCGATGGACTGTAAGGACAGACTGTGGGACCAGCACATTCTTCTTGATGGCGTTTGCATAATCAGGCTCCACAAGTCCAGTGCAGGGTCCTGAGCGGACATGAGAAGAGCATACGGGTACAAACACTGCTGTCCGACCAGGGATCGTCACATCTTCAGACAACGAAAGAGCATCGATGGGCAGAGTCAGAAAATCGTCAACTATTGCAGCGGGCAACATACTTTGTAGAAGAATCTCTCTAGTTCCACAGTCAAGCGTAGCACTGCATTCATGAAGGAGGTCTATCCCTAAAATGATGTCATGAGTTGCGCAAGCCAGTACAGTGAATTCAACTCGGAAATTTTGTCCACCAATCGTGAGTACAACTGAACAAATACCAACAGGGCATAACGGTTCGCCTCCAACTCCACGAAAGTTTCTTCACGATTCCACGCGAACATAACTCTGTGACCCAAGAAACGATGTTTGAAACGAAGACTCATAACCGAAACAGCAGCACCAGTGTCTACAAGAGCAAGAGTATCTACACCGTCTATACACACACGCACTTTGTTCATCAACATCACAGCAGAAGGAGGAATTGGCGAAACTGACCGTCCCGCGACCGCACCTCCATCGGTCGCACCAGTTAGTTTCCCAGCTGATGCGGGGAAGGTGACCGACGACGCGGAGACGGCGACCTGGCGGGACTGTGTGGGAGGCGGCGTCAGGGCTTCGCTCGGAGACGGGGGACTCGCTGCGAAATTCGTTAGGCCATTGCTGTCGGGGACGGTGATAGGCCGGGTGAAAGGTCCAGGTTTCGTGCATACGAGGCGGGTGCATCAAAAAACGTGGTGGCACAGGCGTTTCGTACATACGAGCCGGATATGTTGAGAAACGTGGCGGTGCAGGTGGCCGTTGGGACAGAAGCGCGAAATGTGCCCTGGGAGACCACATGTGTAGCAAACGGGGACTTGTCGGCTTACATTAGAAGGAGCAGAGGTGGCAGAAGTACGCGGAAACGGGTCGTGCTCCGCAGGAACATTTTGTGATGACGCATAGTAATCTTCTGGTAGAGGCCTGGTCGACGACGGTCAGAGGTCCGCAGCGGCACGTCGAGATGATGACATCCGGTGGTGGCTGCGACCTGTCGGGGAAAACGGAAGCCGCGGGGTAAAATCTGCAGTTTCTGTGCGTGGTCGGTTTTCGACGTGGTGCTCTCAGCATTCAGTAGGGAGGTGGTTCGGGGCACGCGGCGAACGAGCATTTGTGGTGAACGTCACCTGCTTGAAGTCGTACGAGCTCTTCTCGAACTACCCGATGTACGAGGAAGGGAATGTCTTCGCAGGTGGCGACGTCCATACTTGCGACAGTGGGAACATTGTCCAAGCGCCCGAACTTGGGTAGAATTCTCCGGGTCTTCAACGCCTCGAATGCGCGACACTGCTGCCTGAAAATCGAAGGAGTGTTCAAGTTTTCTTTTGTTATCAGAAAATTGTACACGTCCTCGGCGATGCCTTTTGACAAATGACCGACTTTGTCTTCGTCAGACATATTTGCGTTGACAATCCCACAAAGCTTCAATACTTCTTCAATGTAGGTAGTGCAC